TAAGACACAGCCATATAATAAACATCTTATTAACTGAGCTAGGTCGGTCTGTATGGGAGAATCTTGACCTCGGTCGCTGGGTACAGACCTCACTGGTTCGGTCTGTAGTGGTGACCTTGGTCAAGATTCTCCCATACAGACCTCCTGCTCAGTTAATAAGAACTAAATACAGCACACTTAATTCAAAAGTTTGTTTGAATCAAAGTCTTTTTCCTCAATTTGATCCCAGAGATATAATAAAAATCTCACTGACCTTTATTTTCTAATTCTACACTGTAACTTATAGAACCTTGTTGAAAAAACATGTAGCCTGTAACTCAGCTCAGACTGAGAAAATGAGGTAATGTCAGGCCAAAGGGAACTCAAGTAGAACTTCCCAGTAAAAGAACTTTGTCTTAAATAAAAACAGAATGAAAGGACTACTTGAGTCCCCTTTGGTGGCCAGTAAAAGAACTTTATCTTAAATAAAAGCAGATTGAAAGGAGTAAAACTAGCTCCGTGACTTTATCTGATTAAATCTATGTCAAATTATAACTTTCTTAAAATGGTACTAGAGTCTAATTAACAACTTTTCTATGAACAAGCTTTAGATATGAGATGATAGGTAGCCAACATGGCCTGTAGAGCCAAGTTGGCCTAATCATCTGATATCCAATAAGCACAAGTGAAATAATTGTTTTATCAAAAGCACCCTATAATAAATAAAGGTAAATCTTTCCAACATAGAACGGATGGAATGTTACAATGTACGAAACACTATTGGTTTATCTCCTCTTCAAGCACGGGCATGGTGTAATAGCTCATAACCAATGATGGCTAAGCCAATGAAAACTCTTGAATTGCAATATTCAATTATCCAGTTTTAATTTCTATTGCAGCTCGTGGTGACTAGAAATAAACCTAGGAAAATAAGTCGATTGAACAGTGTGCTTGTCTGAAAGAGAAAAATCCTGAAAAGGGCTGATGTCACCGACAGTTTCATTAGACATTTTGACACTATGGCATGGCGTTAGTCAACATCAGGTTCCAACCTCCAGTCTGATAGACTTCGGCTATGGTAGAGGAAATGTCAATGTAATCGACAGTAGTCCTTTCAGGACTACTCTTCCTTGGAAGATCACCTCATAACATCAAAAATTAAAAACTTTGGTCTTCTCCAGACACGAAATTACCCAAGTTTCCCTTTAAAACCCCTTGGTGTTACGTAATGGGTTGAGAACAACGATTCACTATGCAGACATCTGAGAGACGATTCTGAGTTAATTATCGGCAGATTCTCCTAAAGATTTAAAAAAATTTTCTCCCTTTCACTTGCCTTTGAATTGAACTGGTTTGACTTGATGATACGTTTCGGTAAGAGGTAACGAAATCAAGAATAGTTTTCACAAACTAAAAGCCGTCGGGAGTTTACCTTGTACCCGCTGCTCCCGCCACATCCAGTAAGCGATTCCTTTGCAAGACTCTGGCATATCTGTAGTCGATGATATGAGTCTTACTCTCTTCTTATTGAACTTGAATTCTGCTACAGATTCACAAACGTTCTTCCTCTTTTCCAAATATTTTGCCAGAGTGTTTTGTCCCGTGTTATTTTGGTGGTTTGTTTCAGCGATTTCCTTCTTAGCCCGTTTCGTTGGAGGTTCATTCGCCATGCTTACGAGTCTCGCAGTTTTCCAGATTAAACCTGGATAAAAGGCACAGAGAAAGTAAGAATCAAAATTTCGGAAAGAGGAACGAAATTCTGCAACAACTGCAGTTAATGCTGCGGAAGACCTGCGCATCCAAACAATACCATGTGAAGTGGGGATTGTATTCTCGCGCGCATTAGCCTAGAATGGCACGTGACTACAAAATATTTTAACTGTGGTGGGGTAGGGAATTTCAACCATGGTGGGGTAGGGAATCTAAACTGGTCTGGGGGAGGAACACGGTTCATTCAGTAAATTATATGAATTTCGGTTTATCAACCTGAGAGAACCTGGTTTGGCATGCCGTAGAAAAAGTCAAGACACAAATTGTCAAACATAGAGACCCGAACATCACCGGGTCACACCTTCATTGAGGCTGACAGGTCCAAAAAGATACTGCGTAACGACATACCCAGTTCTGTTACTTGTGAAATACAAAACCAAAACATGTGGACAGAATCTTCACAGGCAATCGGGTCCTGACTTTCACGAATGAAATAACGAGTTATGAGCAAATGAATTTTTAAAACAATTTTTTTAATTCTAAATAATTATCCAGCTCAATCTGGTTTTCTGGACCTGGTTTTCTCTGAGTATATATATCAATGCTAGGTAAAATTTCATATGAAAAACATCGACTAACAAAGTTCCCTCTCTAGTAAGTGAGCCTCCTCTCAAAAAAGCCCCCTTCCAAATGAATCCCCTTCTCTAAAAATCCTCTTTCTGTAATAGGCCCCTCTCTAACCCTCTAAGAAAGCCCCCTCTCTAATAATAATTCCTCTCTATTAGGCCCCTTCTACAATTGACCCCTCTCTAATATCCCTCCTTCTGGTAAACCTCCTTTGCCAAGGACTCTCTCTATTTGTGAGTCCCCTCTCTAATGAGCCCCCTCCCCTCCCTCAGAACCCTCCCTCTCTGATAAGCGGCCTTCTCCAATAAACTTCCCCATGTGAAAGCCCTCTCTTTCTCTGATTAGCCCCCCCCCCTCTCTAATATATCCCCGTCTGGAGGCCGAGGAGTCTCTCTTTGATGAGGCCACTCTTTTACGAACCCCTCCACCCTCAAAACCCTCCCCTTCTCTAACAGTACCCCTCTCTGAAAACCCCGTCTCAGTCTGATTAGCTCCCCCCCTCCTCTCTCCAATAAACTTCCCTCTGGAAGCCGTTGTAATGATAAACCAGGCTTGAGCTCATTAGGGATATCACGATCTCAGTTTATGATATTTTCAATTTTGTTCGGTAACGAGTCGTGTTTCCAAGCGAATTTTTCGTCTTCGGACAATATCATTAGTAAAAAAAACTGGATTTGTCATGAACGAAGCAACGATTTCTATACGATCAGCCTGAGAATAACCATCAGTGAACAACCAATCAGACAAGAGGATTATTTTTGAAAGCCTCAAGGTGGGTATCCACTTCTTTTACAACTTGTCAAATGTATCCTTCGTGAAAACGTACTCATGTCATTTAACAATAAACCATTTAAAATTTACATTAGTTTGTATTCTGTACAGAAAACGAACTTATTTCGGTTACATTAAGTTATTCATAACGGAAAAATGCTGGATCACATTAGTCTTAAAAAGCTCAAGCCTGTAAGCCCCTTAGAATGTTTCAGGACGGATTCTTTTCTTTCTGTAACTTTGCATTAAGTAAGCCGGTAGATTGTGCAATATCAATTCCACAAAGAAAATAAGATTAGTATAAACTTGGACAATTTACAGAATAATACTACTAATAAGTAAAGTATACCGCACAGGGAATAGGTCACCATAGTGATGTCTCGGCCCGTGGGCACAGATGATTGAGACCTAACTTAGCGCGACAAGTATCGGACAATAGCCACTCGCACCTTTGTTCCAATATTTGGACCTCAATTATACTTGAAACAAATGGCTGACAGTCTAAATTACCTCCGATCCAAACACGGTTGGGCACAGACAAATCGTTTTGTGTTAAGATGGTTTAATTTAAACGAGGCGCCCAAAGCAGCGAGAGAAACGGGCATGACGATTCCTGCGTCAGGGAGGCCGCCTATCTCAGCGAAGCCGAGGTGCTCACAAAGAGTGGCTTTGAAGACAAAAAGAAAGTCTCTTGCCAAGGGCGTTACCAAGGCAGGTACAGAGAATAAGAAAGGATTAGACGCAGTCTCGAACAGAGAGATGCAAGAACACGCCGCGGTAACTGTGAATTTAATTTCATCAAGGGCGGTAAACAGTGATGAAGAAATGGAAGAAATCGGCGAGGACCCCGAGGGGGAAGAACGAGAAGCCGTCAGTGGAGATGACCACCAAAACGAAGATCAGGACCACAGCGATGTTGAAACGTTTGATTTCTTCACAGAATCGTCCAGCGAGGTGTCAGAAGAGGCAGTTCTGTTACCGAATATTTTAATCCCATGTACAAAGTGTCATGATGTTATTAACATATGTCGCTTGCCATGTCACCGGAATTTGCACTACGCGTTACAAACCCTCAAGTACGCACAAGATCAGAGGCCAAAAAACATCAGCGCTTTGGTCAGGCGAAGAAAACTGTTGATAAAACAGCAGCAAGATGCTGGTTCAAAAAGAAAACAAGATCCCTTTGGTGACAAGCATTTGCATAAATTAAACACGGCGTTTGAGTTCCTAAGAACAGAACTTCAAGGAACCACGGATTTGCGATATCTTTGTGAGAGGGTCATTGAAGGTTTGTGCATGCGATATCAGCTCGAGACACTTTAACATAAACAATCAAGGCAAAGAAACCAACTTCTTGAATAGTATGGTTTTATCATCCGTAAACTTAGCGGGAGTCATGATTTATCTCGTGATAATTGTTCCACGCTGTAAGAAAAGTGAAACAAAGAAAATTGTTTTAACAATTAATATTTCCTAAAATTGTTAACCAATTGGTGAAATAAATTGATTCTAAATTGTTTAGTTAATTATTCAGATTTCTTGGTTTATACGTACAATACACTTCATCTCGTTTAAACCGTGAATATTATGTTTGCGTAATTTAGATGACAAAACAAACTGCTCTTTTGACCTTAGCATGATTTTATTTGGGTAAAAAATTTGGAAAATTCTACCAAGCCGAGGTTAAACGTGTTCATGACAGATAACGTGTTTATGAGGAAATCAAAACGAAAACAAACAGTGTCAACTCTTTCATTAGCACCTTCTTAAGTTTGATTGATGCGAAAGATTGGCAAGGCCTTGACGCAAGAAATTCTTTTTTTGAGTTCATTTGCATTTCAACGCATCGAGTGCGACTGAAGTTTGGCTTTGTTTTTTTTTAATTGCAGAAATAAAAGTAACAGGCGAGAGCTTCGATTTGTCTTGCTCAATTGCAGCTGGAGTTTGCGAAGAAGCAAATAAAAGGTGGAAAATCATGGAGGATGTACACATGTATCAAGATAACTTTTTAAACAACATAAATAGCGCATTTATTGCAATCTACGAGGGGTACAGTGGTAAAAACACTGCACTTGAGTGCAGTCGAAAACTTCACGTGTATTTGAAAGAGGAGCTTGACTCTATTATAACAAAGACATACATGAGGCCGTCTAAAAAAGAGATCTCCACAGCCTTTCGGTCTTCTTTTGCAAAAACCGAAAAGTTCCTTCTAATGTCAGAAGAGGAGCGGTCGCAAAGTCGATGGAGTGGTTGCTCAGCAGTCACATGCGTTTTGTCTGATGAAATGTGTTTTGTCGCAAATGCAGGGAATGAGGGCGCCATTTTGATAAGAGATAACGATGTCGTTAAAGTACTCACGAACAAGCACGATCTATACAACAAGAAGGAACGCGAGCGTGTGAAGAAGTCATGCGGGGTCATAGTGAAGACGGAAAAGTGCGCGCTCATAAACGGCGCCCTAGGTGTAACAAGAGGCATTGGGAGCATCGGCGATATGGCCTTAAAGAGGTGCATTATTAATGAGCCTGACGTCAGGACTATATCTTTAGATCCTACAGATCAACTTCTAGTTTTAGCTTCTAGTGGATTTTGGAAGATGTTTTCCTACGAAGAAACTATTCATCTTGTCAACGGCTTCTTCGGACAAATAAGAAGGGGGGCGAAACAAAAGATTATTGAAGGAGAAATAGTTGATAGAACTGTGTCTGAAATACACCACGAACACCTGTCTAATGCAGAGTACAGAACAGAGCTTTTTTTCAAGATGGCCGGTGACAATTGTAACGATACATCTTCGCCATCTGTTTTCCCTTCGGACAACGTTGCAGGAGGATTGGCGCACAGTAAAAGCGAAGACGACTTAAGCAACTTGATAGCACATTACCAAATTAAACCTTGCGTTGAAGCAAACGGATACATGAGTTTTTTTAACTCTAAAGGTGAACCCATTCATACAAATCACACCACGAACCCTCCACCTATCGATGACGTCACTTCCACATATACACGTCATCACCGATTTTCTCTACCGGATAATAAAATGTTGAACTGGCTCAAAGGCGGCGAAGAAAAAGACTTGACAAGAACAGAAAAAGCGCGTCTTCTAGCAAAGAGTTTGGCGGAGAGGCTTGTTAAAAGCGCGCTGTACGCCGAGTCCATGGAGAATATCACAGTCTTTGTTGTTCTTTTGCCTGGATTTTCTATGGTTAACTGGCAGATGGTGACACCCGACATCTTGGAAGCTTTAGAGGAGTTTGTAGCCGATGATGACCTTTTCGAATGACGTAACGTGCCGATGCATGTCCAAGAAGTTGTGTGAAGACTTTGGTTGGACATCCTCAAAAGACCTGAAGTTTATTTTCCCGGTGCAAACGCGACCTCCGACAAGTTAACACAATCGTTAAACTCTCTTGTTTACTGATATTTGAGTATGGTCGGGTCAGCTCTCTACACTCGCTATTGTTGCTTTATTTGTCGCATGATCTTGCAGTTAGCTTAAACTTTTGTCTTATCAATCATGGTGCAATACGTTCATGTAAGTTGCGCGATTCACTACGGGAAGGCTTGGGATGAGACTAATACTTAGCCAGCGCTTCTCCTGCTTAACTAATATGAAAGGAACAAGACAGCTAATTCAGTAAGCAACATTCACTGCTCTCGTTTCTAACCAGGATTTTGCAGTTTTTATCAGTTTCACCCCATGTAAGTGACATAACTAGTAAAGTTAAGAACGAGAGGGCTAGTGAGAGAGCAATGTATATAAGCCGCATGAGGTTCAGTACTCTGCCATAAACCAGTGGAATTGTGAACGACTTGAATATTGATGTCACCAGAAGGAATTAAATACTAACGCCTATAATGAGATCCTTGTAGGAAATATAATTTTCGAAAATTTGTTAACAGTCAAAAACCTATCCGTTTTCACAAATAATTTTTTAATTCAAGTATGAAAAACAGTTAAAAAAACAAATGTCACATTCATGATTTTTATTCTTTAGTGTGAAAAGAATCGCTGAATATAATCCATCACAGAGTAAAATACAAATATAATTTCATATACTGCTGAAGAGTCAAGGGTGATACGCAAAATATAACGTTAATAGCTGAAAACAGTTAAAAATTTCACTTTGTGTGTTGATGATTTCATCTAACTGCCGAAGAATATACTCGTGGTCTTTTCTAGGCTCGTCCAAATTGCAATCAAGAGTCTTCAAAGGAAAATCCAATTTCTAGGCTCGTCCAAATTGCAATCAAAGAGTCTTCAAAGGAAAATCCAATTTTGTTTGATTATCTAATACTACCCTTAAAGTTTGCAGTGAATCACAAAGTAACTGAATAATTTTTGCCTGAAATAATGTCACTTTGCTCTTATAGGTGGTCCTAAGACTACATCTGAAGATATAACCCCTTTTGTGAGGATTCACTTCAAACCTTGTGAGTCATAATTACTATCGGTGGATGAAACCTAAAGCAGGGGATTCAATAAAAGCCGTTTAACGGGAGTCTCCTGCCGCCATATTATTTCACTGGCGACGCAAGTATAAACACAAGCACAAACGCAAGCATAACATCTCCTATTTCAACCTGAAAACGGCCTCGACGCAAGGACAAGCACAAGGGCAAGACAAAGGAAAAACTTATGATCCTTGTGTTTGTCCTTGGCCGTTTTCACGATGAAATAGGAGCTGTTATCTTTGCGTTCCTGTGAAAGCCATGCTTTTCAACCGCCTGTTTGGCCTGCGAGCAGTTTCTCGTGTTTGGGTTTCACTTAACGGCCACCTTTTGTACACGCCATCGACAGCCGCTTGAGATGGGAGTAAAACGTAAAGTACTTTACATGGCTGTTATATGGCACTTTGAAACACTCGGACGCGAGCCGATTTTGTTGCCATTCAAGTGAGAGCTCCAGCACTACTTTCATGTAACATTGCATCACTGATTTATACGTAAAGATACATAAAAAAAATTCTGTTTACCTGTAGTTATACACATTTTCGGTATATTCTGCACTGGAAAAGTCAATTAAAAAAACTTCCTTAATACTTGTCAAGGCATGTGTAATGTTCCATCAAGTTCTTCTCAGTAGTTCACAAGTAATTTGATCATGGCTTTCTCCACATTTTAGATTCGTGTTCACGTCACTTTACACCAAGATTGTATTCCTCAACAACAGACTCCAGTGTTTCAAATGCATCCAGAAAATCATTCTAAAAACATTGAGAGGTTAGAACAGGTTTAAAACAAATACTACGACCTCAGATGTAAAGCCGTGATTTTGGTAAGCGAATAGGGCAGTCGGTTTAAAAAGAGGGTGAAGAGAGAGGTCGTTTCGAGCCTAATACACGACTTATTGATCTTGGTCAAAATTATTACAGTCCGGAACACTAACAAATACTCATATGAAGTAGTGAACAAATGCCTCTAATCTCAAATTTCATTCGGAACTGAAAAAGAAAATACCGTGCCCATAACTATTTCAGAAACTAAACTTACCAAAACAGTCGTTTACCAGATGCGACACAAAACAATTCTCGAAATATCCATCAAATATGCGAACGTTTTGCCTTTTCAACAAGCTCATAGGGGGTTGCTTTTACACTCGTTGTTACCTTAGAGCAGCCGTGTTTGCTGAACCAGTGAAGATAAGCACCTGCATCATACATCGCCCTTGCCTTCCTCATAACATCCTCCAAGGTCTCCAGAATCTTAGTTGAGTTTAAACAAAGAGTAAGTGATTGGGAGTCTTTTGGACCTACAGGGTTGTACTGGCCTGTGAAATAAAAGTATAAGTATATTATTATCGGAGATAGATCTAAGTTGCACATTTAGTTCTGCGTTTTGGTACTTTTCTTGAGCTTTTCTTCCTTCCAAGGTTCCAACAAGATAACTTGGGTTTACCAACTGAGTTAATAATATAAATTGGCCATCATAAATATTTTCAAAAGCTAAAGCTGAAAACACCTCAAAACTATTTACGATGGCTAATTCATATGATCAATTCAGTTGATAAGAGTAAATGATCTTGTTTTGAGACGTTAGCTGTGGTGTGAAACATTTTGTAAGTGTAGTTGCAACACCTTAAAACCCGTTTAAGATGCAACAAATAAGGTTGACATGTGTCACTTTGTGCAACGCTCATTACTGAAGAAACTTTGCGAGACATTCAAAGTAACAGGTGATGCGCCAGCTACTTTCTTGTAACACGGGACACAAGTAAGTAATTTTGTTTTTAAAATTCCTTACCCTTGCGTTTTCTTTTGTTTCGATTGAGAAGAGCCGTCAAAACGTCGAGAAAGTATTCACTTAATTTGTGAACACGTGGAATATTGAGGGGAAAAATGGGACTTCCCCAATCTTTCAAGTTTTTCTTCGTGTCGGAGTAGCGAAAAAAAGGTTATTATTGATATAAAAGTTACTCACTAATCCAGAAATCAATAGGAAATGGATTCCAATCCACAAATCTCAGCGAGGTTCTCAGTTTATCTTCTATCTTTGGCCAAATCTCTGCAAAGGAACCATCATGGTCCCCACGAGCCACTAGCAATGAACCCAAGGTTGAAAACTGCATGCCGTTTCGATCATATCTACGAATTGAGCGAATAAGTGACTGCGTGAGGCTCTCCCAAGAAACTTTTGATTTGGCCATGTGATGCAATGTGGCAAACTTCTTTGATGGCTCAGAACAAAGTGATCGAAACATCTCCCATGGCTCATTTCCACTTGGTACATCTACTGCTGGTGAAGAATTCTCAATCTGACAACTATCGCTCTTGGAATTTTTCATCTCGGAAGGGTTTACGATTCCTCTGTAGCGCAAAAGCGCCGAGGCAGTAGATCTGGGTTGTCTTGACATGTCTGTTAGGCTGTCTGTATAGCTTCAATACGAAGATGTACTTAAAATGGAGTCACTGGACAACACGGATGATGCAGAACCAGGACTCCTGTCAAACACAGCTCTGTGGCGAGTGACTTCAGATTCGTGTTGAGATTCACCAAGGGAAAATGAAAGCTGTTTTGTTATGGTGTCCATTTTAAACGATGTCTCTGTACTTTTATAAAGTATTTCTTTTCTCTTTTTGCCACTGATCGTTTCATTCGCTCCCTTCTTCTTAAGCTTTCCTTTTATAAGCTTGGGTTTGCTTCCCAAAGGTTGGAGCACTCCAGCAAGGCTCAAAGATATGTAGTAATTCATGTCTTTGAGAGAGATGGAGCCTGATGGGTTTTGTCTTGTTGAGAGTCCAGTGTGTGTTGCTATGTGATGAAGAATGTCATCATTGCTAAACAACAGAACTGCATCAGCATGGCTGCAAAATTATGGGAAAGACAAGGGAGGTTTTCACCAGAAGAGATAGATAACTTAGATAACTTTAATTACTGTGGATGAAACACTTAACTGTAGGTCTAGTTTATGGGTTTTCCACACCATATATCATGATTATATAGAAATAATAATAGTAATAATAAAACATATTAATCATAACAACATCTGTTACAATTCATCTATAATTTATTAGGAATCAATAATATATTTCCAACCACCCCTCCCCCCTCCCAAGAAGCATATAATGGTCTTTCCCTTCTCAATTAAAGCGTAATCTTTCTGATGTGCTGGACAAATTGCAGGCTGGTCCATTCAAAGTTATACATTATCTGAAATTATGATCTACACTTAAATTAGAAAATCAAGCCAGCCAAGTAAGGATGAATAAATTGACTATGCACTGTGGGAAAAAATGAAGCATTCGAAAAAAAAGAGTGTTTCAGCAGGCGAAAATTACTTACTATTGTAATGATGACAAACTGAGAAGAGAGTTGTAATGTTGAAGAGGACTGTCACCTGATGAGTGGGGAGATACAGCAACAGACATGACATGAGCCAGAGGGTATGCATCCCTTAAAGTTTCAATCAAGCGAGATCCCAGACCAGAACCAGTGCCACCAGTGAGACTATGAAACACAATAGTGCCTGAAGGAACAAAATCAAAAAACCTTTATGTTAAAACTTTTGATTGGTACAGGATTAACACTTTTCTGAAAAATGCTGACAGCCCCTTTTTTTTTAACTAGGTGAGAAAAAAACAAAACTGCAAAACTATATAGTTCATGACAAGGAAGTGAGGTCAGCACTCACCCACTTTTGTTTGTTAAAAGCATTTAAGCTATATATCGAAGAAAAAGAAAAATTCAATTAAAGAGAAGGCTGTAATCTTTGTTCTTGAGCCCTTATAACTTGTCGATTGCATCTTTCATTTGTTCCATATCTTTTTTATACTGTAATCACAGAAATTTACAGCTTCACAGTGCAGCTATCACCAAGTGTAGTGTGACTGACATTACTTTTTTTTGCATAGCCATAAATTGTTATCAGTACCTGTAAGTAGTATATTGTGGCGACTTTAAGGGTGCTTTTTATGCCTGATCTGTTTAAATAACTGGCACTTTGTCACCTTCCTAAAGTATCTACATGTACTCTTGTGGCCTTTCATTGCAATTAACCTTTTTATAAGTTTATGTAAAGTACAGGAATCAATCTGGCAAACAGAGTGACCTGGTAACTAGCATGGTTTACTTTGGACTGAAAGGTCCAGGTCTGAGCTATATATAACTGGGTCATTATGTTGTATTCCTGGGTGGAGCACTTAATTCTCTCAGTTTTACAGAAACCAGAGCAAAACCCTAACAGTTACTGATCATTCTGTTATGGGTGTAGGCAAATTAAAAACTGGACCCCCTTTTCTATATCCTTTCTGGAACCCAGACGTAAATAATATGATTGATGTTGAGGAACTGAACAAGAAGAGTATGCAAAGTTGCCTCTTAAATAACAGCTCAGTTCTTAACCACAATTTAGAGATGTACAGAGGGGAGTCCAGAAGGGAGTTTGAGAGAGGTTCCAGAAGGGGGCTCAGAATGGGATTCTGAGGGGGGTCCAGGTTTCGTATAGAGGCTAAAGAGAGTTTTTAGGGAGTACAAAATGCTATCACTCACTGAATCACAAAATGGTCAGCAGTTATTTACCAGCATAATTATCGCATCTTTCTACTTCTTTCCTCACAATTTCCATAGCCCTGTGCAACAATGAAGTATCTTCAGTTTCTCCACTGAGACCATGATAACCTAATGCCCAATTATTTCCTCGTCCTCTCTGTCCACTGATCATGTTTCCTTCCCTGTACAGCTTACTGGATCTTGTATCTTCACGATAGTTGTGTCCGATGACTTTGGACTCGCTGTCCACACAGACACACCTAAGCTTGCCATCCCTGTGGCTCAGAGGGTGAACATCACTCTTGTCAATCAAACGCATAAGTTCGTGACCGACTTGATTGCCACATTGGCCAACTAGAAGCACGATCGATGACATGGAAAAAGGCAAGGTTACACCTTGCACAACCTTTTTATTAGCTTATCGCAATCTTCGTCTTAATTCACAACTCTCCAACAAATTAAGAAGTACAAACTTCAGCACGATTAAGCGAACAACGTCGAACTACAGAAGTTACATGGCGACTTGCAAATCGAAATTGAAGTCTATTGAAAATCAGTCTGTTGCAATTTTATATTCATCACATCTCGTTGGGATCCCCTTTATTTCCTTAGCTTACCAGATCAGAGCTTCTCCCGCCATATTTTTGATTCGATGCAGGCCATACACTCAATACAGTCCTCACTACAGTGAACTTCAACTGCAGTAACATTCACTGCAGGCGCACATTACGATCTTTCTTGTCAGCGGCGTACTTCTCTTGTCAACACAAAATTTTGCAAACTCATGTTTTCTCCCTCGTTTTCCTATTTCTATCAATCTCTCTGTTGAAAAAGAACGGTGCTATGGCAGAACAAAACCCTCGTTTTAATAGAATTTTAGATCAGATCAGAGATAAATTACGTTCTGAAAACATAAAGCTGTGGCTTTCCCCATACACAGTTTCAAACGACCAGCCTGGCATCTACCCGGAGGTAAATATCTTACGGAAGTCCAGTATTTCAAACTAGCTAAGCTGAATTAACTCTTTTTAACTTTAATTCAGTTCATCTTTATTAACAATGGACTAATATTTAAGGTGGGAGATCGTTTTAGTTTGCAAATACTTGCCAGAAACAGGGGATTTATGAGGAAGAATGATGTACATTAATATGGTTCAGTTAAAATTAACTTAGTTTTGGTTTCAATATTTCTTTATCTTGCATTTACAATCATTATGACGCATCATCATGCACTAAAACCAAAAGAGGACAAGAAGAAATGGATATATTTGAACCAGTGAATGTATGCTTGATATGTGGGAATTTAATCTCAACATTTTGAGCCTCAGACTTTGGCAGAGACATGCATGCACCTCTATTCAGGGAACACCTTTTGAATTGTGCTCCGTACAGCCGCGTGTAAAGTTCTGCATGTAAGGAAAACATACTCGTCTTTCTACGTTAATGATGAAAATAAAGCTATTCAATTTTTAACATCGTAACTAAAACAAAGACATGAATTAACAATGTTTCTTTTGAAGCTGGTTTACACCATCATTATGTCAATTGGTACCCATACATCTGTAGTTGTGGAGATGGTGATCAGCTATTCTCTCTGGTTTCTTTTTGTTTTGTTTTAGGGGAACAGGGATGGCATAGTGGTGAGAGTGCTCATCTCCCACCACTGTAGCCCGGGTTCTATTCCCAGACCTGGCATCACATGTGGGTTGAGTTTGTTGTTGGTTCTCGTCCTTACTCTAAGGGTTTTTCTCTGGATCCTCCAGTTTTCCTCCCTCCTCAAAAATCAACATTCCATATTCCAATTCAATCTGGAGTCGAGTGTTTTTAACAAGAGCCACTGGTTCCGAAGATTGGGTAACCACTTCTCACAATTATATAATCAACTTTAAATAAATTATTATTATTATCAGTGTTGTTAATATTATTATTATTATTACTACTAAGGGTTACATACCTCTTACTAACCAATTTTGAAGTGCATAAGGTAAGTTACAGACCAAATTTTTCCACTCAGAGTTATAGTCCAAGCACAAAGCATGGGGGCCATAAATCTGAGCAGCAATAACATTAGGTTTTGTAACTTACACTACAGACCAAGAAAACTAGGTCAGTTAGATCTTTGTTGGAGTTATGGGTTCAAATAGATTCTAATCCAAACAAACTATTGAATTTAGCAGGCTGCATAGAGAAATACAGCCTGCTAAATTGACCAATCATAGTGCATGTGCTAACTGAGACAATTAGATAAACAGTCTTGTTATTTACTGGATAGCTGAATATCTGTTGCCAATACCTGCCATTTATGTGGTGGATGTAGTTATCCCCTCCTCCCACTTTGACAAATTGTTTTCTTTTCAGATACAAAGAAATATATGAAGTTCATATATTTCATTGTATCTGATTTATCACTTTCACGGGTTTATTACGAATCAACTTAATGGCCTGCTCCCAGTTGGCTTGTTAGCTCAATTGGTAGAGCGCTGCACTAGTATCGCAGAGGTCATTGGTTCGAATCCAGTACAGGCCTGATTTTTTGCAGGTCTGATTTTAGCTATTGCTTAAAATAGCGCTATCTACTGCGAGGATCGTGCACCATATGTGTTTTCTTTTCATTAACAGGAATTGATAAACCAGTATTCTGAAGCCCTGAATGTATCTCCTGAAGAAATATTTGAAGCCTTGGAACAGTTAAGAATTCATGCTGTTACAAAGCTTCAGACAGAGCAAAGGTTTGCCAGATCAGGAATTGCAACCATCAAGGTTCACTTAACTGGCAATATTACACAGGGAATAAACAACAGATTACAGATACAAACTGGTTTACATGTAACTGGGGCAGAATTTAGAAGAAGGTACATATATTTTTCATTTAAAAATGTTGTGAAATTTTGCACATTTAGCTTATTCTGATTAATCAATATTGTAATTCTGCTTTTCAGCTTGAAAAAAGAAACTGGTCTGGATGCTGACAAAATGAAACTTATTTGTAAAGGACATGTTGTTTCTGATGGTATGTTGAAACAATGGTGTACATTAGCTCAGCTTAATTTGACTGGGGAAAGTATGATTCAAAATTCAACTTGCTGCTTGTTTTTGGATTGTAGAGTTACAAATAGTTCTGAATTTTTAAAGACCTTCTGAACTAGACAGGGCTTTTGATAGAGTGTCAAACATGTTATCTAGGAAATTATGCCTCAAATGGATTTCTAGGAATGTTACCATCTGCATCAAAAACAAGTCTACATTTAATGCAATTTTTCTATCAGCAATTAGAGTGGACTTGTTAGCAAGAACTTTGTTCTGTTTTACTTTAATTGTAATCTTGACAGTAATTGGAAAGAAATATATGCTATATTTACTTCACTAATGTCCAGGTCACTTAATATTTAAAAATGTGTTATTTGTGAGATGTATGATTGAGTAACATTACTGGATGTGCCTTGAGGTAAAATGTACAAAATCAGGTCATTTGCTATTTAAGGTTACCGTGCACCTTCAGGGGTGTCTCGTGTGGAAGTGATGTAGCGCATCCGATTAAACTGTAGATATCTAAACCCCTATATCAAATTAAAGCTTATAGGACTGGCTATTGGACTATACAAAAAATTTTGAAAAAAAATGAATTGTCGAACTTTTCACGACTTCTAAATGTGAGCACCCAAATCACCTTTTGAACATTACATGTTAAAGCAAATTTTGTTTTTCACTTATTTAATGTGTTCCTCTGTTTCCGGAGCCAAAGCGCTAAAAAACCTGTGTGTGATTTGCCATATTCAATTTCAGTGAAAAGTTACAGAAGATTTTTGAAATAGGATTAAAAAAATGTGGAGTGATCATACAAAAGTCGTTCTTGAAAAAAAAGTATTTAGAAATAAAAAATTTGGAGACACGTTTTTGTTGTTTATATGTAAACTAGCTAGCTACTGTCAAAATTTGAGAGCAATCGAACAAATTCCCTTTGACTTGTAGCTCTTAAAAGGTGATGCGGGTGCTCGCATTTAGAAGTCATGAAAAATTCGACAATTCATTTTTTGTTCAAAATTTTTGGTATAGTCTGTTAGCCAGTCCTATAAGCTTTAATTTGATATAGGGGTTTAGATATCTACAGTTTAAACTGGACGCACTACATCGCTTGCACGTAAGACACCCTTGTAAGCTTTAATTTGATATAGGGGTTTAGATATCTACAGTTTAAACTGGACGCACTACATTGCTTGCACGTAAGACACCCTTGTAAGCTTTAATTTGATATAGGGGTTTAGATATCTACAGTTTAAACTGGACGCACTACATAGCTTGCACGTAAGACACCCTTGTAAGCTTTAATTTGATATAGGGGTTTAGATATCTACAGTTTAAACTGGACGCACTACATAGCTTGCACGTAAGACACCCTTGTAAGCTTTAATTTGATATAGGGGTTTAGATATCTACAGTTTAAACTGGACGCACTACATTGCTTGCACGCAAGACAGTCCCCTGAAGGTGCACAGTAGCCTTAAGGAGTTGCTAACCATGAGAAGATCAAATGTGATTTCTAATTTTGACAAAAAAATTTTATTAGTGATCTGGATTCAATGCCAAAAAGTCCCAGTTTGTTAGCCTTGGCTAGAGTCATTGATTTTCACACGGGCAAAACCTTGTCTGACTTCCCATTGACAGTGCTTCACCCACTGCCTCTCACTTTGTGGGATAATAATGGGTATGCATGGTGCCAGTGAACTTTAGGGCGAGAAAATGTGAGAGGTAACTTGCAATGGTCCTACTGATTAGTTATACTCCTTGTGGCTTCTTATTAATCCTTTAACTCTTAGATATTATTCACATGTAATTTCTTCCTGTAATGTCCATGTGTTATCCAGCAAACAGGTAATGAGAATACCCAAACTCATCACACAGAAGTTGTCATACCTTGATCTAATACCTAATTCTCATAACTGATACACAAGGAAATGTGTAGCAGCTAGAGGGGAGAATTAAAAATCAGAACTCGGGAGTTAACAGGTTAAAGAAAACATCTCAGGGATAAATAAACCATGGTTGTGTTGGGTACTGTCAAATAATACTTTTCTAGCAATGAATTAAGCCTTCTACCCTTCTCAAACAGACTTGACTCTTGAGAATCAGAATTTAAAGAACAACAGTCAGATCATGGTGCTTTTGTTGTCAAAGTCAAGTGTTGAAATGGAGGATCGACAGAAAGAGGAGAACGAGACAAGGGAAAATGTGTCCAGAACAAGACAAGCTGCTGAGGCATTGTCAAATAGACAAGACAGTGAGTAGTGTGATACAAAAGTTAAGTCTTCAGGACTTAGATGAAAAATGTAATGGACCCTAGAGTTGTCACCCAAGTACATGTAGCGAACTAAAAGTGACTGCTTTGCAAAATGTTTTGTTACACAAATTTAGTCCAAATATGTAACTTTCTCACTGTCAGTGAAAAGGTACCAGGGATTAATTCTACAAGATTCTATGACAAAAAGTAACCCATGATCTGTGTGAATAAGAAGTTACGCCAATCGCAAAGCTTCACTGTTACAGTATTAAATAAATTCAATTTCTTTACATTTTTCCAGATTTTGAAGATGACAGGTTTTTCCTGGAGATTAGTGATCAAGAAGGTCGTCCAATTAAACTTCCAGACAATGAAAGAAAGGTCACAAAGATAACTAGCTGTATATTATATATTTAAACAATATAATTAGACAATTTATCAACTTGGTAACCATTTCTTAAATTTTTTAATCAATATTACAGTAATCTGTCACAATTGTAAATAAACATTTCATTAATTATTTAATAATAATAATAATTTCTTTTGCTTTGGCTGTGCAGGCATTGGCTCTGGCTCTAACATTGCATGAAAAAGGACGAAGTGTCCTTGAAAAAAGAAACTTTCCTGAGGCTCTTTTATTACTCCTTGAGGCAGAAAAAGAATTCAGGTATTGCAAATTGTAAATGAATATTTTACAAAGTTCTCCTTAGCACTGTTTGGCAAATGGTAAGATTAACAAATAGACCCATGCTGCTGTGGGTCTTTTCAGTGATATATCACAGACGATGTCATAATAGGGTAAGAAAATTAGTGATCCTATGTCATCTAGTACTGAACAAAACTGTGGCAACATTAATTTTGTTTGATATGCGAAAGAAGCAAACAATTGTTAATGGTGACTGTTTGGAAGTGGAAACAGAAATGGAAATCTCTTATGAATGGCATGTTTAATCAAGAGAAAAATAAAACAGTGAAAATGCCAACATGTTAACATGTTAAAAACACCAACAACCTTGAAAAAATAACAATTCTAAAAAAGAAAAATCAAAATTGAAACTCACAGACGCAAAAATTGTATGTGTAACTTGTTTATACCATTCTTACAAAATTTTTAAAGCACATGTGTGTCACTTAAGTTTGGTAATGTCTTCTTAACAGTGACGTATGTTTATAATCTTTGTGTTTGTCCTCCAATAAATCATAAGTAACAACCAATCAAAATGCTGACAAGTGTTTTCATTTCACAGACACTTATCAGTTATTTTTGATGTTGGTGCAGACCTAGTTGTCTTGATCATATTGTGTGATCACACATCAAGGTCATGAGAATTCAGGAAATGATCACTGATTAAAGAAGCTCTTCAGTTGATTGTTATTAACAAATTCTCCTCGTCAGCACCTGATATAGAGAACAGTGTGTATGATGCACGATCCTTGCAGTAGATAGCGCTATTTATGCAATAGTGAAAATCAGACCTGAAAAAAATCAGGCCTGATACGAATCAACTTAACAGCCTGCTCCCAGTTGGCTTGTTAGCTCAATTGGTAGAGCGCTGCACTAGTATCGCAGAGGTCAGTGGTTCGAATCCCGCACAGGCCTGATTTTTTTCAGGTCTGATTTTCGCTATTGCATAAATAGCGCTATCTACTGCAAGGATCATGCATCACACGTATCTAATACCGCAGTTCAAAATATATGAACTTCATATATTCATTGTATCTGATAGAGAACAGTATTTGGAAAATATGCATATATACTGATGTTAGAGTGTAAACTAAAGGGATAAAAAGGTAAATTAAATCTGGTAAATTTTACTCAGTTCCATTAAAAAAAGGATTCTTTTGGGTGTATTTGCAGTTATGCATTTTTTTTTTGAATTGCATGTGGATGATGCATGTTCATTGAACATTGTCAGTTAATGGGGACAGACTGGGATGTGGAAGTTAACTGACATATGTTTACTTGTTTGTGGCTGTGTTGTACATACAGTCATTGCAGGGCTCAGATTCTTACTGCTGTTGATAATTATGGTATTCTTTGCCTGGATATTGTCTGGTGTTACTTTTGGCTCAAGAGTATCGTTGATCTTCCAAATGCAGGTAAGCTAGAGGATGATCAGAAAGAAAATTGCCTTCAAACAGACTGTGTACTACCACAGCAACTACAGTGTACTGTACAACTATAATTACAATGAACTACTTTCATTTACAAATTAAAGGTCCATAGTGTAGTATTTGGGTGTACCACAACTACAGTTTGTATAAGTCTACCAACACTATAACAAATGCTCCAATCTGATTTGGCCATGCTACTTTCTATCTATTGGGTGAAAGTTAGTGAGTATTAGGTGAATAGCCTAGCAGTGTGTGGTTGTAAACAAAGTAAAAGAAAAACATACCAGTCTTGTTATTAAGTACTTCAGTCTGTTCTTACCAGTACAAACCAAGTTCAAGGTGTGTAATGTATGTTATGGACCAAGTTTTTTCCACTCGAATTTATGGCCAAAGCACATAGGACCAAATTAAGGATTGATCAGTGAAGACACTTTAAATGATTTCAACACTTAAGACTTTCCTGACAATATGTCTTTTACTTTGTATGGGGTCATGAGATTCTTGCAAGGGGTTTCCTTTCTTAAACAGCAGTTGTAGTTACATCTGTGTGAATGACATAAATTAGATATAATAGTACTGAATAATAACATAAGGCATCTTTTTGTCAATTGTGTTCCATATAGTCTACAATTGAACATTGCACTGTGTTTCTTAAAAATGTATTTGAACATTTTAAGAAGCAAATTGGCCATTAATCTTTTTGTTCTAGAGGAAAAATTGAAGAAGTGCAAGGAATGTTTCGAAAGAAGCTATGGCCAAAACCTTGAGAGGCTGACTGTTGTTAGGGTATGTAAACTGGATCCTAGTTGATGACATGAACTTGCCGTTTAAATATGTATTAGCTATTTAAAACATCCCTCTAGTTTCAATATATACATATATACTCTTATGAGCTTAACAGGAAAAAAAAAACAAAAAACAAAAAAAAAACAGAAGCAATAACAAAAGAGCTGGTTCTATCTCCAGGGAAAACTCCTTGTGGGTCATGTTTATGCACTTTACGTCAAGCCTTCTTCTTCAGATAGTTTGTTAACTACTGATCATAGTATAGTTCAATCTCTCATTTCATGTTTGAGATTTCAGGGAAACTCTGCTATAACTACAGTTAAGTATGATAGAGAATAAAGAAGAATGAATGCACTGTGTTTAAAGGCTCTTGTTCCTTTTGGTAGCACTTTTTCCTACCCTGAGAATCAAAGAATGAGAGCCTTGCCCCTTGTAGAAACAACTACTTTTGTCCCTTTTGGAGGGGAACATTTTCCTCCCCTCCCTCTTTCCCATATCAAGAACTTTTTAACTCCCAAAACTTGATTTCTAACCCTCCTCACCAGCTTCTGAAACATTTCATAGTTCTAAGTAAATTATTTCAGGGAGTTTGGTTTTCTATCATCTTGCGGTAACGTTATCTATTTGATATTTCGTTTAATCTCATCATTTCTTTACTTGCCCTTGAATGACAATGTCATTAGGAGAAGTTACACATCAATCATGTGTTGGACACGAAGGGTTTAGAGTGTATGTATGATCCCTTTTACCAACAGGGTGGAAGTGGGGGCGAGTTGGCCCTTTTTGTGCGCCTGTATGTGCTGGAGGCTGTTTGTGCATATCATAAAGGAGACATTTTTGGTACAGCAAAATGTTTGGATAAGGTACAGTTTGAAATAGATTTTCATTCTGTGTTGCCTCAATCCTCATTCTTTTGTTTTGTAACTTAGTGCTTGTTTATAAAGGTAAAGTTTCATTTGAAAGGTCACTGAAGAACTTCACCTCACTGTCACTTCTTGAATCACCCGTCCCTGTAAAAAGTTTAAAGCAGGAGTACATGTCGAAATTTAAGCCAGATTGGGTTTTTTGTTTATGATGAGGTTCGGGGTGAATACCTACTGACGAGTGGTATATTCACGAGAGAATTTGAGGTATAAGTGTTAGAAATGAACGTAAATCTGACCATGAAAGAGTCGCTGTTTGTCTGTTTTCATCTCTTACCCTGCAGGCGGAAGATTTACAAAGTAAGCTGCATATCAACAAAGACCAATTAAACCAGAGTAAGTTTAATTGAGCAAAGCTCTTCATTTACTTGTCGGTAAAAAACTAACAAATAATCTCGGTCTGAACTTCAGGTGGTACCATTCTTAACACCTGAATAAGCTGCCTTTTTAGAGAGAACGTGAAAAAGAATTGTACCCCGATTTATTATGAGGAGTTAAACTTTAAAAGGTTTCTTTCTTGTCTGCAGTGTTGATGATGGGCTTTACAGAGTCTGAAGCTCGTCTCGGTCTAATAGCTTGTCAAGGAGACACAACCCTGGCTATTGATTACATCACGAAGAGAAGACAGGTAAGTTTACTTCCGTACAGAGGAGTGTAACTTCATTTGAATCCCAGAGACCTACAGAAACGGTACGGGGTATTTGGCAGTTAGAGATACCCCGCAGCTTGCTGATACTCACTGATACTCTTGGGAGGAGAGAGACGCTGTGAGATTTAAGTGTCTCAGTGCTACGAAACACTGCCCAATGACACGGCCAGGGCCTGGACCTGTATCTTTTGGATCTGGAAACCAGCGGGATAATTCCCAAGCCACAGCGTCTCAGCTGATAAAGAATCGTTCTAAAGACCCACAGACTTTTTCATTACAAATATCTCACTTTTCTTTTGAGTTAGAATATAACGCTCTTTTGCTTGGAATTTGTTAACAGGAGAAAAAAGAAAGAAGGCAGAAAGAGGTCGAGGAGAGAAAGAAAAAACGACTGGAAAGAAAATTAGGGAAGACTGGGACGGGAGAATGGTAAGAGACACTACACCAGGGAAAATGTCAGCGTAAGTAGGAAGTGGGGTGGGGTAGAGAGGGAGGATGAGAATAATAATATTATAACTGGTTGAAGTAAAATAGGAACAATCCACAATCCCCGATCTACGCGGCTTCTAAAGAGGGGGTTGCTGGGGGTTTTGCGTCGAGTAAAATCTAACCGAGATTTTTCAAGTTTCTCTTTTGCAATCCGATTGAATCGTCTTTGCCAGCAGGCATCCACATTCGTTCTTTGTGCATTATCTAATATGTTTATTGCCCTACCGTAATAAAATTTGTCTCGTTCAAATTGATTTTTCACGTCATTTAGAAATTCGTAGATGATCATTGAGCAGAGACGTTCGAAAGAGACAGTTTACTGAGGACATCAAAATTTGAAATTTTTGAACTTCGCAACATTATTTGTTCTGTTTGTACAGGGTCAATGTAGATTCTTACAAATTCCTAGTGGAGATGGGATTTTCCAGCTGCATGGCCACCCAGGCCTTGAAAGAGGCGAACAATGATATCAATAATGCACTACAGGTAAGACAACCATGTTCTTTGCAGTTGTTCAGAGTTTCAGCTCGATGAGAGAAGATTATCTTTCATAATCTCTTGATGAAGATTAATGTTTATTTCTGATCTGACTAAATATTTACAGGCCCTTCAAGATCATCCAGATTTACTTGATATTCCTGACATAAGGTGAAGAAATAAGAATGTTGATTATTCTTCTAAGCATAAAAAAAACACACCAATGCCAAATTACCGTCCTGGCGCCCATCGAAACTTATAGAATTTTTCTTTTTTTTTGAACTTGAAAGGTTTAAAAGAGTGTCCGTAGTTTTGTAAAAAATGTAACACTAAGTTGTCAGAAGTATGTCAGTCTCCTCGGATGGAATGCTCATTTTTACTCCTGGGCCAGGTTGTTTGAAAGGGAGTTAACGTTAATCTTGGATTAAAAGTCAACCTTGGTCTTATTTCTTCTGTAGAGCAGCGTGTATGGGAGCTAAGGCTTTGTTGGGTTTTATCTCAATATGACTCGCAATTAACGGGAAAGAATATAAAGMAAAGATCCTTTTGCAGAGCCGTTACACTAACCCCGGGTTTGGTAAACCGTGTTTTGAACTACCCGGCCCTGGGTGAAGAGAGGCACTTTAAGAGTAAAGTGTCTCGCGCAACAAAAACAAAGACCCAGACCCCTCTCGTTGTTACCAGGAAGCCTCGGAGTCTCCCGCGTTTTCATCTTGATAGTTTCGCAGAGGGTTTGAGACTTTCCATTAAATAGTGGACGAAGTTTAGAAATCGACCGATTTGGTGGAGCGCTGTCATCAGAATTACATCTATGATGAACCAGTCTTACCGGCATGCTTTGACAAACGATGGACATCAAGACGGGAGACTTGAACCCTTCGACCTCTGAGAGTGACAACATCTAAATTCTCCCAACAGAATCACCCTTAAATCACACATTAAGGTCATTAGAAAATAGGATCATCGCCAACTTACAGTTCTCTTGATTGGTAAACAAATTCTCCTTGTCAGCATCTTAGGAAATGTATAGAGAACAGTATAGAGAATATGCATATGGACGAAGGGTGTAAAGGGTTGAGAGATAAGTAGCCGCGTTCGTCCTGCAGCCAAACGTTTATTATGAGCGAACCGTGTGCACTGCCAGTATGATGTCATCAAACTGCCCAAGGCACTCACTCACTTGTTTACAAATTGATTCTGTTTCTCAGGTCCAGGTCGTCCTTCAGTGAATCTGTTATCTCTGATGAACAAGTTGTTCAGGTGAATTTTAAACACTGGAGAAACTTTAATTCAATCATTGTTTATCGATAGACAATTTGAATATTGCGTTTACAACCAGCGGCAATGATTAAACCTCTCGCTGTCTGCTTTGAGCCGTTTGACACTTAGATTGGCTTATCTGTACAAATTGTAAACAAGAGATGTTTTGAAATTTTTAAACAGGGTTTATATAAGGATTACATCGGAATAGAAAGTTAAAATCAGAGTTCATTTTCGCCGTTTGGCACCAGCTACCCTTGACGCCATTCTTGACCTCGTGGACATTTTGAACACTTTAACCATCATGAACTGCCTTGAAAAGGAGAAAACCTTAGAATGACTGTTTGCCAGGATAAATGAATACCAGGGCGTAAAATAATATATAGATTTAGCCAAGCCTAAAAGCGGAGCTCCCAAGATCGTAATATTAATGATAACATAAAAGATGTGCATTTGCCAAGACTCGCCTGAGACACCCCTCCCTTCGTTTGATAGTCTCTCCTACCCTAACCGTGCAATCTGAAGACACGTACGTATGTACGTGCTTACGCTCGGTCAATCACGCGACAACCAAACGAAAATAGGTTGACCATATCCATGGGTATGGGGCTCTGTCCCACGCGCGCGAAGCGCGCGTGAGAGCCCCGCTAAAAAGGAACGAAAATGACTACTGATAGAAAAGTTTAAACCTTTAACCTGTACAAGTGACTAGCGTGTAATTTCTCCTTACAATATCGCCCATGAATCAAACATCAAGGTCATGAGAATAAAGGAAATGATCACCAACTAACGTAGTGCTAGATTCAGACATGCTTTGATGCTACTCTGGTGTAAAGATTTAACGAATGTGACCGAAATTACAATTCTTCGACCCAACGTTTCGACACTCTTGTCTAGTGCCTTCCTCAGGGGTGATCTGATTGTTGCAACAAGAGGCCCTTTTATACACTTACTAATTAGCTGCCCTTTTTTCTGACGAGGTGTAATTAGGCATCAGTTAGTAAGCCGCCATCATCACGATTTAAAGGGGCGTGGGCGGAGTTGATATGCCAAGCTTCCAAATAAAGTTCTAGATTGTTTCCTTGTCAGCACCTTAGGAAATGTATTGAGAACAGTATGGAGAATATGCATACTTATCTTAGAGTGTACATGGTTAATAAGGATTGAAAATGACGAACTAAAAAACTTCAGCCTAAATTTTTCAAGATGTGCAAAAGGTAACAAACCTATGTTGAAGATCATAATTACAGCTTTGTATCCGTTCGTACAACGACCTTCCAGTCTGATAAAATCAGTCACATCTCTGATATCTCTCTCGTTTTCTAGGTTTTGTCCATGGGTTTCCCAGTTGAGTCCAGCAAGGAAGCCCTAAAGCGTTGTTTTGGTGATGTTCAGCAAGCTATAAATATGTTGTTGTCTTGCGAAGGAATTCTTCCTTCCTTATCACCTCAGGCTGTTCAAGGTAATACTCTTTAAAAATATTTGCATTGCCAAACGGGACGTATGTTATTTGACAGAGTTCTAACAGTCTAGTGTAAGATCTTCCTAAAGGTGCTGTCACATTCAATTCGAACCACGTGCTAAAAAACTGACCATTTATAAGACTGATCACTTACTTTTTATATATTTTTTTGTTTTATGAGGGGTATTCTTAATAGGATGGGTTATGTTAAGTCTGGAAGTGCGAATTCACGGACTCCGGGAAGGCCGGAAGTTTTGGAAAGTAACGAGAAAAAAATGCGATCGCTTGGCGACAATTTTGCTAAATTTAAAGATAAGATTCTTAAAATCACGTTATTTTTTTGATTTTAGAAAAGTAAAAAAAAAAAAAAGCTTATTCCGTGACGTGAAAAGACGGCTAGATGAAATATACAACAACACTGAACACAGTTACTATTAGTGCAAAGGATTCCAAAGTTGAAACGTGACTGGAAAGTTTGTTCGTGCAGTGTGATGTCAACGAACAGCTTTTTTCACTCATGATTTATTCAAAGGAAAGAATTGACCGTTTATCACCACAACGGAATCAATTAACCTCTTACTGAGCCATGACTTGAGGTATCCATATTTTTCATAGTTATCTTTTCTCTATAACATTGCAAAAAGGGACCTCGTCTAGCAACTTATAGGCAACGACAAGACTTCTAAGGCAATTTGGCGCAAATAAGCACGTAAATTTTTCAAGGACAACACGGGCGATTGCCATTTGTCGAGGAATCATGTAGTTACTTGTTGCTAATCCACATGAAAAAAGCATCACAGAAATTCAAGACAGACGAAATTTCGACTGCGCGCGCACTATTTGTAATTTACTGTCGTGTTACAACTTTGCACTCGTGTCATATGATAAATGCACTCGTTTACAGCCAATAAGAAGTGTGTAATTTACATAATTAGTTCCATGAATCAAGGGTAGCTTCATTCGATTATGACTTCGTGAGAAAAGATCACTACGAACCTAAAGGATACTGAATAGAAGCAATGGACATGAAGTTATCTTTTTGTTTACTATAATATGTTCTAACATCCAAGTAATTTCATGTGGCTTAGTCTTAGTATATTGAAACTGATTCTGCTCAAGTTTGGACTCTTTCTCAGCTACGCTTCCAGCCACCTTGGCAAAATCCGATTTTTGAACTTCCCTACAGGCTCTGCATTTGTTTCCTCATCTCGTTCATTACGCAACCCGACCCAAACCTCCCTCGTTTTTTCACTCCTTTGCCTCTATCGCACTGTTTGGTATTACACTTCTTTTCACCAACTGAACACCAAGAACAGCCCGCTACATTTTCAACTACGGTAGTTTTTGGCTTTCTGAGGATGTCCGCCAATGGTAGCTTTAACTTTTAAATAAGAAGAACAAAGTTTGAGACAATTAGCTAGCGCTTTTGTTAGAACATGCTTAGGGAAATGTGAGGTTTTCAATCGCAGAATATAACCTTTATTTATTTATATTAGTTTAAACAGCTGGTACAGCTGGAGATGCAATTATTACAAAAAAGAACGAATGGCTACCAATGTTGTATGACCCTGGACTGAAAGGCATAACTAAGCTTTGTTTAGAATACAGACTCTGCTGATATAATTCTTTTGTAATAATATAGTTCTTTATCGGTTCTTTGGGATGTATATAGTTAACGCGAGTGAGGGAGGAGCCTTAACCAAAAGAAAACTTCATAATTTTAAGAAAAATGAAAACGTGTTTACTTAAATTTATTATTTGAAGGATCCTTCTTGCTTGCGGCAAATTTTTCACGTCTTTCTTCAAGTTCGAAATTAACTTTCCTCACCGCGACGCCTTCGTCATTGCTGCTCGTAGCAGCATCAAGGACTCTTGTCTCATATCTACTATGTATGGTCTCGCTCTCTATAGAACGAGGTCATTGCTGCTCGTAGCAGCATCAAGGACTCTTGTCTCATATCTACTATGTATGGTCTCGCTCTCTATAGAACGAGGTCATTGCTGCTCGTAGCAGCATCAAGGACTCTTGTCTCATATCTACTATGTATGGTCTCGCTCTCTATAGAACGAGGTCATTGCTGCTCGTAGCAGCATCAAGGACTCTTGTCTCATATCTACTATGTATGGTCTCGCTCTCTATAGAACGAGGTCTCTGTTGTTTAGCTAATAGACAATGCAGCCATAAAATTGGAAGATCATAGTTTTACAACCTCTAGGGGTACTCATACATTTTCTTAATTTTACTCTCGTGACAAAGGTCGTCCTCGTCCATCTTGTTTTTCCAATTTGCTGCAAAAATCCAACTCTCTTACGGAACTCATTCTCCAATTTATTCTATGCCCCATACATGTCAAACATTAAGAACATCCGCTTCGTTCGACGACCGAACTCAAGATCATGATTTACCATCTCTATGTTTACGCTTACGACACTTCGCCATTTTTCATTGTTACAGTTTGTAGTAGGCTCGTCATGTATGGACATACTGCATTGCTCAGCTGTACGAGTTGTCTGTAACTAGTTGGTGGAGCTTGCTTCCTCGATATTTTCTTTGCGCCACGCCCGCGACAAATGAATGACATTCTTCAATGTCGAGACATTTGACAGCAGTTGACTCGCGCTCGCTCATCTGAATGTCTTCCTTGCGAATACTGACCTGATTTACCTCACTAAATAATAATAGTGTACTACTACTCAATACCAAAGCCTCAAGACTGACTTCATTCGTTTACTGGGCTTAATATATTACTCAGTCTATGTCATCAATCAGTTGGAATGAGGCTGATTTTCAAGAGAAAATCTTAAAAAAGTAGCTGAGTTTAATTTTTCGAGGTAATTTTCTCATTGGTATTTCCCTTTCTTTTATTACACCTTTGCTTAGTTACCGCTGAGAAATCTTCATTTATGGCTCAATGTTCAAAAAAGCTGGCGCGATGTCCAAGGTCTCGCCCTGCACCACTTTTGTAAAAAGATGAAATTAGGTCTTGTGATAAAGCATTCTGGCTTCTGAGATATCGGTAACGAACACTTAACAAGGATTAATCTTCTTCTATGATACTTTATTCTCATTAGACGAACCAACCCACATGAACAATACAAGGCCTGAAATCTCCGCTTGCTAACTGGCCTGCACGGTTTCATGAACAGAGAACATAATTTGTTCCGCAAAACTAGCAAGCCTGTTTACCTGGCTCATCTTAAGAGGGTCGTACACCCCACTTCACCGTACTCGCCTTTCTTCTCTTTTCTTTGTCATCGGGCTACGCCACTGTATAGTTCTCTGTTTTTGAAACGTTCTTCTAACCCAACACTCTTATGGTTGTCGTGTTTTTTCTTCATATTAGTTGGTCGAGAGACAAAAAAGACTCTTTTTTTTGCTCAATTTACTGATAAACGGAGTTGTTATTTTTTGCGTTGAGTTAGAAACGGGCTTCTAACGTGCGAGTCATGTGGAAAAACTGCAGTCTTGATTAAGATACCATCTAGCATAATTCGCTTTGATTGTTATCCATACAGGCGTTATCAGATTTCCTTGAGTATCCTTCCTGAATGTTCTTGCAGTGCAAAATTCTCATAAGAACGGTTCGATAGTCTTTGAAGCGGAGAAAATAAATGACAGGATTCACTGCGGAATGCGACAGCGCTAGCCATAACAATCCGTCATGTAATGCTCCGTGAAATGTCTTGGTTATGGTCTGTCTTGCGATGGTCAGAGGAGCGAAGCAGAGAACAAAGACGCTGATAACCAGAGCCATAGTCTTAGCCACTTGCTTCTCGATTGCTTGACTTTGGGGCTGACTTCTTTGAAGTTCGGATTGAATTCTTCTTTGTCTCCAAACAATGACAAAGATGTTTAAGTAACATGCTGCAACTACGACAGAACAAGTCACTGTTACCGATGTGGAGAAAACCGCGATGAAAGAGTTGTCGTCGAACGCAGCAACGGCGCCGTACATCAACGAACATGTCCAGGTAATGACAAGAACGATTCGAGTTCGCCGTGGTGTGATGTAAAATTTGTGCCTCAAAGGCCTTGAAATGACAACAAAACGCTCAATACTCACCCAGCTTAAGATGAGTAGAGAGGCGCTTGACGACAGACTAAGAATGACTCTTCGAGAATACAGAAACCCCTGAGATAGGCAAATTCCCTGAGTCTTTTGGACTGTCCACACAGAGTTAAGCGGCAGAGCAGCAGCGCACACCAGTAGATCTGCAATGCTGAGGTTTAAGATAAAAAGATTTGACAATGAGTGTAACCTCGACACAGAGACGACAATAAGAACGTTAGATAAAGTGCCGAGTAGGGTTGTGATTATGTTGGCGATGGTGAGAAACACTCCAGTGGTAAAATGGTAGCTGCAACGGTTATCTGATACATCAGAATAGTTCCCATCCATTTGGGATCTCTCTTTCCTTCTTTGTAAGGTAATCGACGATCTAGCGATTCAAATTGTTTACCTCCCAAACCAGAATTGAGTTGCTAATGAAGCATTGGAGTTTTTAATTTAGATAGGTGTTAGCAAGTTGCTCCGCAGTTATTGTCGAAAAAAGCAAACAAAACAAAAAAAGTCTTTTTTATATATCTATTAGCAGAACAGTACATTCTGTGGATTTTTTTAATTACTGCTTTGAAAAATAAAGTGCGTGAATATAAAACAGCCCACAAGTACCGGAAAGAAAAAACATTCATTGTCAGAACGGCAAGGCATTCATAAAGATTCCCCCCCCAAAAAAACACATTGTTTGTACCGGCAAAACTGTCAAGCTTAGCTTTTTAATCATAACTTATTGTTTTGTTGGGAATAAACTTTTGGGATTTTATTTGCAGTTTGAAAGCTGTACCAGCTTTGTATACAATATATTTGTTTACAATATATTTGTACAGACTCATTCGATGAAAAAAAAAAAAATCTGCATTGAAATAATATCAAGACCGGGTAATGTTAATTGAGCGCATGGGAAGGTGACCTGTTTTTTTCGCAGCAGCAGAAAAAATGGAAAAGGTTATTGATGTCCGTTATTTGAATTTAATTCCTTCCATTTCAAAAGTGCATCAGGATAATGCAGGGTTGTTGTCTTGCTCTAATTTCATGAACGCTTCTATTTTGCTTAAAAGTATTTTTTTTTTCTTTTAACGAAGGAGACGTGACTGATAACCTGGTTTCTACCAAACACGAGATTTTTTTTAAAAAAAAAAATAATCATTTTTATGCAGATGAACCAATGGACTTACTTTAACAGTCGAAGTGTAAAGCTGAGGCTTATGTAGGAAGTTTCAGAGGAGATAAAAAGAGTTAGTCGACTGTGCCGGTATTTTTTCTATGTAATACGTTACCATTGGAATACGATCATCTGGCCAGTTTTTGTTGTTCTCTGAGTATTTGCCAAGGTAATGAACAGTCTTCCAGTCAGTGGTTCGAATCCCGTACAGGCCTGATTTTTTTCAGGTCTGATTTTCGGTATTGCATAAATAGCGCTATCTACTGCGAGGATCGTGCATCATACGTATCTAATACCGCAGTTTAAAATATATGAACTTCATACATTCATTGTATCTGAGTCTTCCAATTAATGACACAAAAGTCGTCCTTTATGTGTAACTCCAACAGTTGTGGTTCGGTCTTGATTCCGAATTTGGGAGCACTTCCAAAAATTTCCTTCAAAAATTGTAAACTGTTTAATGCAATATGGCCAAAGTCCTCCGCAAAGTGTTGTTCCCTCCTAGGAGGAGAGTTAATTGAAAAAAAAAAAAAAAAACCACTGTAATGTATTAGATGCAGATAAGGTAATGATAGCGTAAGGTGTTCTTTAAATAAAAGACTCAACCTGATGGGCAGTACAATGTATAGAGCCAAACTGAGTGAAACCAAAGTCCAAAATAATACTGAATACAAGCTCTCTCTTCTCTTTCTATTAGAAATATTCGTTTGTACTGGTATAAGCAAAGTCTTCATGAATCCCTTTCGGGAGTGTGGCGGGCAAAATTGCTCTTCTCTCAGACCAAGTTAAGGGCCTTCTAAGCCTCGTTTTGAGTGAAACATCTTATTGAAAGAATAAGGGAAGAACAATCAAGTGCGCCATTTATTAGGAGGTTTTAGAGCCTCATTGATGATTGTTGCGTAAAATATGGAGTGAGTGTTTTGATTGCAGGCTAGGGTCAATGAACCGTGTACCTGAGAAAAACACCTTTTAGCAGAATGCTCCTCCAACGGCTTTCTTCTTTTAAGGGGGTGGGAGGGGGGGGATTTTGTGAGATTTTACTAACAATCTTAAATTCATAGACGTGCACAAGCGTCCCCAGCAATTATGCCTTAGTTACCATGATCCCATCTATGATTTTTTTTTCTTTCGTGTTTCAGGCAACTGCACTAAAAGCGAAGATGAAGAAGACCCGGATGTAGAAGAAGCTGTTAATGAACTAGCGCCAGTCCTCGCCAATGAGGATGATGAATCTTATTTGAACATGTCACTTGAGGAAGAAACTTCTATTATAGCCGAATACAGGACAATGCTTTTATCTGCTGGCTACGATTCACGTTCTGATTCGTTTAAATCCTGAAAATGATGAAAAAAGTAGAGTTTCAACGTGACTTTTACTTCCATGGTGAGCAGAAATCTTTTGTTCCCTGAATACAATTGTTTTCAATTTAGTGAACAAATTCAGTTGTTTTCTATCTCCATTTGGCTGCCTTTTATCTTTTGAAATATTGGTAGTATTTTCTGAGAACAGAATTAAACAAAGTCTGGTTATATCAAAAACTTGTTTGTAGCAGCAGTTTTAGCAATTGTCGTAGCAATAAACTCGAGCAATCCCACCTTTCCGGCGAAGTCTGTCGCGCAAGTCAAATGTCCATACCATCGGTTTGAAGTTGAAACTTGAATTTTATTAACCATGGAAAACTGAAGCTAAAAAGGTTTAGCTGGCGGTTTTACTTGGTCGAGAAAAGCATTGAATACGCAATAGCCATCAAGCTATTGAAATCTAAATATTCTTTTAAAGTATTCGAGTTCAATTTGTAAAAAGGAACGATTTGTAGCTTTTTCCTCTCCGTTTCGCATGGCGGGATGTAAGGTCACCAAACCATTTTTGCGATTTTTTTCTCCATGCTCTCTTTCTTTTGACTGCAAATTCTTAGTGATTGTTCACAATCACAAACAAAAGTTAGAATATTGAACCCTATGATCTTTTTTTCCTTTCTACGTCTGTGTAATGACATAAGAGTATTTCTGTTTTAGGAGAGCTGCTATATATACGGCAGTTGATTGTATCCTTGTTTTGCGATTCTTTTGCGTGTTTGAACACGATCCTTTGATGACGCGTGTTAATACGAAATTGTGATCTTAATACGAAACTAAACAAAACGTTTCATAACTATTGATCACGATAAGAGATGGTGGATACAAAACTCGCTGAACAATCCTTTGATTCGTATATGTGCACGATCTTCGCAGTAAAGCTCATTTTATTGGCAAAATTTACTAAAACTTCCTCATAACCTTTACTCCGGAACTATGCCCATGAAATGCCTCTTAATTGATAAATGTGACGACTTTTTCGTTTAAGTTCATGGTTGTGCCTTATCTTTACATTACTAATTAAATGGAAACAGTTAGTAGGTGAAAAAAGAAATAAGTTTCTAACCTTTTATGCAGAATAGAGGTGGGAGTCTATTGGGATTCATAACTGCGCGTTTGTCTGAAGTTTAAATTAGGAATAAACCACCATCAAGACTCAAACATACAGAGGAAAAAAAGAAGAAAATCATTTATAGCTGAGCGAAAAACAGGTGCTTTTGAAAAGAACTCGTTATGCGCCGGTCAGTTAGAAGCTTCAAGTCCCCTTCCCCCGGGCAACGCACGGGCATTTGTCTGTCGTCCAACAGCTCTCCTTTTTACCCCATACTTCAGTATTAGACAAGAGAGTAAAATCAAATTAACATATTGTTCCCTGCGTGCATGTCTTTTGTTTTCTTGTTTAATTATGTAATGTACCGTCTTCCCCATTTCTTCCAAACAATAACAGCAACAGCTTGTGCCCTTAGCAAATATCCTACTAGCTTTTTAAACTGAACCCATGAAATGAAAAGTCAGTTTTAAAAGTATTTCAAATGCGACTGCAACGCAAAAGAGATCTAACTCCATGTGCAGCAAAGTGCTTGCCTGACTGTCGGCTTTACTGCTTGTCTTACTTCACTGATCTTCCAGCAGTAAACAACGGGTTTTATGTCGAGTTAAAGAGAGATCTAATGTGACCCACTAAGTTTGATTCAGTTCATCGGTTCGAACCGCTCGATTGTAGACCAAGGACTTGTGCATGTAATATTAAGCGCAAAAGAAATAATTCCGCGAACGTGCGTCCTTTGATCCTCCTGGCAAATCGCAGGAAGGATATTTCTACGAAAGTTTTTTTGAATACACCAAACTCATTTGTTTTTGATACTTGAGGTATTTTTTTCCACGCAGTATTGTGACGTATTTTAGCAGTTAGATAGTTTTCAAATGCATTCTGGCACATGTGTCGTTTTCATTCCATGCGTGTTTCAAAAATAGGTTTCGAACCTTCGTAAATTTTTTGGGCACTTCCTTATTCGCAAGTGATTGAAACAAAAATATATATTAGCAGTTTCGTGAATACATCTTTTGTATAAAACCTCGGTTGAAAATTCTCACCACTTATCGTGCGACAGCAACGAGGAAGTCCGACATTTCTATTCCTGACCTTCTCTACGTAAATTCGCCCAAAGTTTCCATGGCGTGGTTCATTTTAAATCTAGCGGAAAGTCTATGTCTCCATCTAACGGAAAAGTTTACCTCTACTGCTTTTCATTGCTATCATGGACAGAATGAAAGCGGCGTTCTTCTATCAGAACAGTGTGATCCTTTGGAAGATTTTAACGAGTTCGATCCAGAAGACACAATTTTTCAGGAGTACGATCCACCATCCTTGGGAGACCATAGCAACATGGCTTGGAAGAGATCTCGACCCACAAAATGGTGGAAGTCGCTATGGAAGGCTGTGAAAAATGTCTTTCGCATTCAAATTCTCGGAGGTTTAGTTGTCGGTTTGTTTGCATCTGGAATTGTGGTATTGGAATTGAATTTTGTTGATCTGTGTTACGAACTACACCAGCATAACTGGACTTCAGTACCGAGAAAGATTCAAAACATGATTGTCACTGCGGACACCATTCGGTCATTTTCAGTGCAGTTATGGTCCATGCTTCTTTTAATAACTATTTTTGATTGGCTACTTGTAAAGAGACTCAATCTATTATACATCAGTTTAATTGCTTCATTTTTAGACATGACTTACCGACTTTACTTTCACGTTTTCGGAATATATGATGTATCATGGGGGTTCGTGCCATTGAACACTCTTTTTCTTGTAGTAACCGTTACGAATTCCATATTAGTCGCGAGAGAAATTGCTATCAACAGAGAATTAGTAGGAGTATCGAAAATGAAGAAAACTGTTGAGATAACACTGATCCTTTGTGGTCAATTTTTAATTTCTACGTTGTTAGTCTATATACTGTTGTACGTCATTTCTCCATTGTACGACGGTCAAGACGATAATTACAGAGCGCTGATAGCTGGCGCTTTTCCTTTGTCAGCAGTTCTCCCTAAAGCAATACTGCGGCTAGCTTTGCAGCGGATCAGTTTTCTTCATCCTGGAAGGTCATTTGTAATACTCAGTGCTCTTTACAACGGGTGCACGATAGTCTTTCGCGTGATGCAGGCTGAACTTGGTAGCCGGAAACTGTTTCTTCTGATGAGTTGTTTGCATGGCTGTGTCCATTTGTTAGAGAGGTTAACTATTCTTTTGCGAGATTACCTTTGGTTCTACATTTTGAAGAAGCTAAAAGGCGGCTATGGTGCCCAAGAAGTATTACTTACGAGCGCAAAAAGCTTTCGCACTCCAAGGAGCATGCGCCTTGAGGCGGACATGAGTATTCAGATGATTCTTGGAGAATCGACTGCAATGATAGCAGCGGTCAGCTTCACACAGATGTACACTTTTATGTACAACGACGAAAAGCCTTCATTTACTGACATGCACCAGATAGAGGAGTTTTTTACCCGTCTTACCATTGCTTTGAGCATTGAATTTGTCTTCAACTCGTTCACGTGTTGGCTCCAAATGTCCTATTTCAATTTCGCTGTGGTGCGAGTCTGGAGGAAAAATTGGAAGAGACACATGATGGTTTGTGTCATTCAGTCCACTCTGAAATTGTGCTTCTTTGCCAAACATTTGTTCCCGTTTGTGGAATTGAAACATTCATCTGCAGAAACAAAGCGCCATTTCAATTGTACAGGTCCATTTTCTAGATTCTAATCGAACAGGTTTGATATGAAATAATTTGGATATATCAGCAAAATTGAAATGGTAAATTGGCCACCGTAACGATTACAAAAGCTGACGTTTCGAGCGTTAGCCCTTCGTCGGAGCGAATAGAGGAATTGTGGGTTGTGCGTGCTTTTAAAGGCAGAAAAT